ACAGAAAAGCACGGGTTTCAGTTAGAAACACACGGAATTCAGAACCTCTGGAAGTTTGTGATTAACAAAAGTCATATGAATGTGATAATCAGCTAATGCTGAACCACTCGAATTATCGCCAAAGTATGCAATCATATATAAAACTTACAGCTAAAGTAAACAGTGGCATACCAGCACTTATATACAATGTAGATGGGTGGCTGAGTCAGATGAAGCGAAGGACGAGAACCTTTCCATATGCTTTGCAAAGAATTAGCATCTTATGATCATACCAAGAATTTTGGTGAGGTTACCACCGGTGCAACGAAAGTGCCTTCATTCATTGTAGAAAATACTTTGGAACTTAGACTGTTAGTTGATTCGAGACTGGGCAGATTACCATGTCCTAACGGAATCCACATTGAGTTGCTACTCACCATGGCTCATATAATTTTACATTGCACTTATGAAGATATTCACCATGTATCATTCTCGGACTAGGCTGCCTAAAGATCGGAAAGATGCAGCTGGAAGACCCACCTTCAAAGAGATGAATATGCAATTAGTATGCCAGCCTTTAAGTCTGGTACGTATTATCAAAAAAGCACGATAAAAACTGTTAAGGACCAAACACTTTCTCATGTGGATGGATAAAGTGTGCTGCATGAGGAATACCGTATCACGACAGTATTGCTTAACAAATAAACTGGTAGCTATGGAAAGCTAGGTAGACGCCAAAGGTGACGATCTACTGATAGATGTAGCTTTTATCAATCTTAGTGAAGCATTCGTTGAGAAGTACACTGTGTAAATTATCAGGCGCAACGTTAAACAACCCCTTATGTGATTGTTTCTGGGGTTACTTGCCTCACGTTAAGTGTCAGCTGTCGAGATTAAAACGTGTCAAGATTGTTGTATTATATGGCAGTATTATAGATCAATTGCTGCTATTACTACTAAAAACTTTATTCTGAAAAAATGCTTAGGAAGTATGCATAGTTCTTGGCGCAGTTTGTTACACAGTATATTCTCTTTGTGCAGAATTTTCAAGGAAAATATCAAATCATAGTATACCATGAGACACAGCGTTGTTCCATCTCGAAGATAGACTCATCCCCTATATTGTGCCACCATCTCCAGAGTGCACGACGATAGTATTAAAACCAATCAAGAATACTCAAAACAGTAACAATTAGTCAAAAGTGCACTTGCGAAATAAAAACTGTAAATTACGTAGTACTCAGTGGTATAGAGGAAGAAAGGGTTAGGAATTCAATAAGGTTAAAATTGTTATTGTATGAGAAGAAAGGTAGTTGAGTATCACATTTAACAAGTGTGAAGAGAGTAAGAAAATGTACGAAAGGTACATATGAGAGTGGTAATAGTGAATTAATTATTAAAGTAAAAGCAAACTAGAAGTAAAATTAAAACTTAGAAAAGAAATTTACATGGAACGACTAGTGAAGAGGCTAGGACCATGGTAGAAGAAGAGACTGGACAAACTGTTTCTGTATACAGAGTTCGGAGTTGTATTGACAAAATGTCAGCGCCTGAGGCATGCTCAAATGCCGAAACCTAACACTCTTTGTACCACTTTGTCTAACCTTGTAGATAATCTTGAAAGACGACTCTGGTGGAGCTATGTGGCTTGAGTTCACCAAGTGCTCGAGATTTGAGCTAGTTATTGTCTTGTATTGTCCTTTTGCTAACTATGCCAGATAGTGTTCAGAGATGCGTTTGGAAAGTGTGCGCTTTGTGCAGCCAACATAACTGGCTCCACATGATATCGCTGTCAAAATCATGAAGAATCGCTTATGCATATCACTGAGAAAAGCCTTCTTTTCGGCTAAGCTACGGATTAGTTTTTACGGCTGACAAATGGTCAGTAGATGTGCGGAGGATAAACTACAGCCTTGGAACACTTGAGTGTATGCTCACAAGTCCACATAATTGTGTGAAGCTACCAGGATTGAAAGGGTTGTAGTAACAAAATAGACAGGAAGTTTGAATAATAAAAATAATAGGATGATCATTATTGATGGGAATGTCTTTTTATAATGGTCATGGTAAGGACAAAGGTTGGATGTATTTCTTTTGAATGCGTAGCGTGCTCTTGAACTGTTGAATCGCTGGTGCTTCGACTATGCCCAAATGCCTTGATTTGACTCCCTTTGAGAGAATTGATCTCGTCTTAGATAGAATTTCAAAGGACTTTTCAAATAGAACTGAATACCCTGAGTTCACCAAATGTTCTATTACCGAGCTGTATTCACACACCTACGTTCTATCCTTCCTAACCAGTCTGAATAGTGTTCCCGAGCACTTTTTACAAGCTGATTCATGGTATGACCAATGTAACCAGCTCCACAAGAGCACGTGAACTGGTATATATGCCTGTTGAAGTAGCTGGCGCGGAATCGGCCAACTAGTCTCAACATTAAGTCCCCAGAGGGCAAGGACCCGGGTGCGCTCCCACTTCTTTTCACTGTGGGTTTGCCGTCCCTGGAATTCCTTACCGGCAGATGTAGCTACGGCACCGTCTGTGGACGCCTTTAAGCGAAGGCTGGACAACCATGCGGCGACACAAGGACTTCATCCAAATGGCCTATCCCCTTAAAATCGCATACACCATTCAAGGGTAGACAATTAAACATGTCGTTTTAATTCTTAACATTCTCTCCCGTCTTACTCTCTTGACAGCTTTAACTACACTTATTATTATTATCATTATTACCGGTATATATATACATGTTGGGTTGACTGACTGTTGTTACGTTTTCTTATTCCTTCTCTGTCTGTTAGTCTGAATACCTTCACTAATTACATCTATCATTATTATTATCTCTTTCCTATTGACGACGATACCGAAGGACCAACTGGTAAAAGGATCAACTCCATTCACAGTAGTAACAGTCTTAACACACCTCATACTACAAACCATATATAATTAATCCCTGCACTACTCCTTTTGGAGTCAACCAAAGCTACGACAGTCGAGTGGCGGGACGAGCTACGCAGACGTTTACCGAAGATCAGAAGCCTATACCTCACAATCAAGAGGCGAGGACAAAGAAATCAAATTGGTTAATACTAGCTCGAAAAACCGATATTGGATATTGAAGGTACTATATCAGAGAAAACGCTCATCCATAGGCAGATAGAACAAAAGTTTCCGCACAGGCTTCTTCAGGAAAACAGACAAAGATTGACTGAAAGATACTCTTGATGGGTGGATTAGTTACGGACACTAACTACATGGAATACACAGTGAAAGTCACTGAAGTAGTGTATTTCGTGCACAGATAAGTAGATGCACTTACACCAGGAATCTATATAGTTGCACTTGGAAGTTCGCAGTGTCACTGTGCCCACTCATAAAGAGAGATGTGGAGGTTAGCGCAACTGCCATGGAAGTGAAGTGTAGACATATGATGACCGATTGTGACTGCTGGTTATGTTTGTCTTCAAATACCACCGAATCAAGGACAACTTCATTGTGACATACAAGATGACATATTGGAGGAATGGCGCTACAACATCCCTAGGAATTCCGGTAAAGGTGTGACCGGCTTCCAAGATTGGGCTTTGCTCAGAATTGCAGTAAATGAAGTTACCACACCCCAAATATCATGCAAAGGTAGAGAAAGAGGAGAAACAAGAAATTTAAAAACGTCATAGTGAGCAAATGAGTGCTAAAGAAGGAATAGTGATATGGATGAACATGAAGTTTAAATGGATGAGAAAGACAGAAAACAGTGAATATATCATCTCTATGGACAATGATTTTGAGCAGTATCAATAACAATCTTCAGCTCATGTTTCTTAGCATTCTAGGGACCCTTGCCGGGTGGTCTACTTCACCTTCATATGTGGGTGGCTCAAATCAACTGTCAATGACCCTAAGGGCTAGTGTCGGGCTCTTGATAGACCGCTTCTAAACCTATCCTAACCCAGTCATATGGTAGGTAATGCTGGTCGTCGAACAGGCATACACAAAATATGTTCTAAATATATCTTTTGGCGTAACGGCAAAACTAATTTATCTTCGCACTCAACACTTTAATCTTAACCATGACAGTACCGCCTATCATAGGGCTAACTTATTTTCCCTTAGGGTCTACCGCAATGCGATTCACTATCTATAGTTGTGATAAGTGCTCCATATTTCGACAGCTAAACCTTACGCCAAAACAATAGCTCTGAGCACATTAAGTGAGGAAGTATACTATGGGGGCTGTGCCGGCATTGCATACGTCCCACTAATTTTTCTGCACTCGACTAATCCAATATGATACTTCATATAAATGTTACTTCTATTTCCGTCATACAAGATCTTTCCTTTTTCCGTGTATGCTCATAAAGTCCCACCGTCTCGCATGCATCACACCCTATCCTTCTGATTAAGCTCCCATTTGTTTTGTCCTCTCCTTCTCTAAACTCCATTTCAGCTCGTCTAGCATCATCTTCTCTAGAATATTTGTCAACTTCAGCGGGACACTGCCGGTGAAACAAAATTTGCAAACCAAAGCTGCACCAGTGCCCTTGTTAAACCCGTGCATTCCCTCCCTACGAACGATCGTTTCTGACCTTAGAGCAAAGAAAGTGGTCGACGGGATAGGTTGTACAGAAGTCCAACAAAATCCTAGAACTATTTCGAGACAATAAAAATCACAAGAGATATACAAGCCATAAGAAGGATGTTAGATATCTTGAATGGTATATAAGACGCTTTGCATCTGATAGAAGTTCACGTTTCTTTTGACCTCCGAGCGATGCAGAGATGAACAATTCTAGCTTGCCTTGAATGGTAAGAAAAACGGATTAATCCAATGTGGTTGTACATACTTTTCTCATGGCAAAAATATAGTACTTTCAGAGTCTAATGTTCACTTATGAATTCAGACCTCGTTAATTTACGAGCTATTTTACTAACTTGTATAATCTCATTTTCGCTAATAATTATTATCAGATTACATATTTCCATTTTCCATTGACTCTTCGAATGCGACCTTGTTGCTTATAATAAAACAACAACTATCTGATACAATTAGCGATATTTCAAATTATTCTGCAAAATGCGTGGTGTGGAAAGTGAAAACAAGCATAATTTGTGGTAATTTTTTCACACTTCTTTTAATGATTATCCGTCATATATAAATCAGCTGTAGTTTCATGGTCTCCATGCCTAACAAAATATTGCGAACTTAGGAGTTTTCAAATCCAGACACAAATATTTTGTAATTGCTTTGTGTTTGAACTACTTTAACATTTGACTTCTGTATTTTATATGGGTGACCAATTAATTTAATTAACTGGGCGGAGACCCCTTGTTTAATTCACCTCAATGAAGAAATTCAGTTCTTTAGATGTAATATATTTCGGCTTTTCGCTGTACATTTCTACCTGTATAAATTCACTAATGTAGTGTTAAGATAAGGCAGTGTTTCAACACAAAGTTTGTAATTTTTTCTATACAATAGCCTTCTGTGTTAAATATAGAAGAGTGTGTGTATTCGCCAAGACTCTCAGTCTTTTTTGAAGACTCTGGCCAATACTTCCATTCTTGCGGCACTTTGAGAGTGTCAACTATACACAAGTTATTAGACATACTTTCCCATTCTAAACAGTGCACTGAAGTTACACTGAACAGTTTTAAAGAACTCTGATTTCTTCAGCTAGCTTTCATTAAGGCATTGTCTGATAGCTAATCAAAGATACATGTGACGTGCCAAGAATAATACCTTCAAAAAGCTGGTCTTAGTCTGAAGGAAGAGATCCTGACATGTATCCAAGGTACTGAGACTGTTTTGTAACTTGCTGATTCGTTCCTGTTTTTTGAGGAGCGAATGAACTACTAACAGTGAACTTAGAGCCCCACCCTTTCTGTTTTCCCTTCAAATTTAGAAAAAATAGTCTACGTCGCGCAAAAGGTTTTATTAATATCGCAGTGAAATCTGCACGATGTGCACTTTAGTTCATTTCATGTAATTTAAACAATTAAATCTCCACAAGATTGTAAGAAATTCTTCCTAATAAGGACGAGATTTTCGTAGTCGTATGCATCATAAATATTAAAGCGCACTATATCAGGGTTTTTATTCAACATCAATAGATGAAATACCAGCTGATGCATTTGTCACTTACATTAAATCTCAGAAAATATGAGGATAACTATTTGGTATGATTCTAAAGCAGCAATTCAGCGCGTTAGCACTTTATAATGGACTAGCGTGCTCGTAAACGAATTACCCTCAAACACAAAATAATCTTTTGTTTCTTTGACTTTTCAGTGAACCAATTAAGTTAACAGTATTAGAAGCAGATACTGATGGGCTGACTAAAGATTAGGTTTGACTCTTTTTGGCTGGCATTCGTCATTAACGCGTGTTTGTTGATTGAATCCAATCACCTAATACTAATTCACACTGCACCGCGATGGCTAGCCACCTAGCTTAGTGACCATTTTGAAAACTTAACTGATACCAGAAATCAGTGTGCATCAATACCAAGGACTACACGCATGGCATTGGTTACATTCTAGTGACTAGTCAGTATTGATGTTTTATTATTTCCAACGGTCTGTTTCCTAATATTTCGAGTAGGGGGCTTTGACAAAAACGTCTGAGAGCAAATCAATTTTAAAATAATCTATCACATCCCCTGAAGTATTGCACATATTTTAAATATCGTACCTCTGTTCATCTTCTCTATGGTAATAGTCACCGTCTTCGGACAAATCCGTAGATAAAGTCCTTTCTCACTGGCTACTGTTTGTATTCATTTCCTTGTAAGCATCTTATGGTAAGGCGTGTAGTTCAATGGTAGAATGCTTACCAACCACAAGGGAGGTCAGTTTTGATCCCCTGTTGACGCACTCTTACATCTCGTGTAGCTTGTTGGACGACAGACAGTAAACCAGGAGGAGCAAAAAGGTTGAATACATGGCTAGTAGTCACACACCTTAGAAAACAACACCGAATGACACTTCAAAGCTCAAGTTTAAAGCCTTATGTCTCACACGGAAAGCAAAAGGACCAATCAAAGGATTATAATAAATGCAGTAACACCTAAAGATGAGTTTGGAATCGATTTTTTATGTAACATACTTATGATTTGGCTAATATTTAAACGGATCTACAGTAGAGTTGGTGTGTTACACTAGTCATTTAAAAGACTAACTAATGTTGACACTGAATTTATTAAATTTTCCTGGAGTATGTAAAAACCAGTCTGTTGACGTCAGTCATCTACACCAATCACCACTTTATGAAGGAACATTACTAATAAGCCTCATTCATCTGTCTGAAATCTCTCAGAATGACTTATTTTCAATTAGCTTAAAGTGTGTTGAATATATGAGTTGACTAAAAACCATACGCTGTCGTAAAAAATCTACAGCTTTAAGCCAAAATTTAGTAGGGAATTAATAATCTTCAGAATGCTATCCAGCTACGTAGGAGGGATAAATTAGATTTCTGGCCTGTGCAGCACTGCTAAACTTTGTTTAGCAGTCATTCAACCTGAAAACGAAGGAAAGTTGTGGGTGAGGCTATCAACCTCAAACCAGTGCCCCTACAATTTCCAAGCTCAAGTTTGAAGCTCTGTTTTCTACCTTAAATGCATGGAAATGAAAATCGGAAGTCCTCTGTATAAGTTCCTTATGCCTACTTTGTGTTGAACAGGATGGTTATTTCCTAAACTTGAAGTTATTTTTAGTCGGTTTGTATATAAAACATATCCTTAAGGTTAATAATAACAACCTAAAGATTTTAGTATTCAAACATATTGAGATTTCAGTGTGCGAATTTGCAAGAAAGTGTATCAGTTCAAGTCTCCATATTTCATAAACGCCAAAATAAAGATAGAGAATAAAAGTATGGCAAAGAAGCCATCAATAACGGAAATGTAATCCAAAAAAGAAAAACTACATGGAGAATAATGGGCATCTAATGAATCTGAACCATTGCGGATGATTGCTAGCCATATCACTAACTATCTCCAACATTTGATTTCGGTGTCTCGAGGACCTTAGTTAGGCAGTGTACACATTATCTCTTGTTCAGTCCAATAGTCAAGGAATTCATAGATTCCAGGAATAATGACAGGTTTTTATTTCCCTTCCCCTTCCCCCGCCGCTTAACCGTTTTCCACTCCTTTCCAGTCCACCATCATCCACTGGTGCTTGATAAAGAAGGCGATGACTCGGTATTCTCAACTCGTATCGTAGCCACCACATCCTCGTTGACTGACTTCTTCTCTTCACCTAACACTGTATGCTTCATCCTAATATCGCTAACTATATATTATGCCACTTAACATAGGAAACAGAACTCACACAACTGTTGTCATAACCAGAGTTTTCAGCAGCCACACTCCTAACAGTTGTAAAGAAGGATGTAGTGAGTTTTTTATCAGAACACAAGTCAAAATATCTCCAAACATATTAGTTTTTTTTTTAAAGTACATACTTCACTTCGCCTTTTGTTTCTTAAATCCAGTTGCACCATCCCTTTTCATCAGTAAATATTTTAAATGTTTGAGTTACTACTTGTATTACTGTGGTACCGGCGACTGATTATTTAATTGGTAAGAATAAATTGAACCGATATCAACTAACTTATCCATCACATTGGTTGGCAGTGTTGCTAAGTGACCACTAGTGTAAGCATATTACTCGCACAAGTTCCCCTACTGAACTGATTTGAAAAGATACAAAACATGGATTTCCCCAACGTATGAAAAATTGGTTACAGGATTTCCTCATGAGCTGACATTGGTTAGAGAACCATTGGAATACCTTGGAGTACTGGACATCTGCTTCGTCATAGTTTGAGGCTCTTCATCAGTGCACACCCACACCACGTGTTCGAACCCAGGACCTTCTGGTTACAAGGCGAGCTCGTATACCATTAGGCCACTGGGACTCGATCCAATGGCCAGCCCATGAATTCTAACTTCTGCCAATTCACGATATAGCGCGACCCCTAACCAATGTCTTCGGCTAGTATTTGTCCTCACACCCGACCTGCTACACCCTACTGGTCACGACTTCCTACTGGAACCCCAGGTAACTACTTGCCTGAATAGGGCCAGTCGCCAGTGAGTATCTTATTGATATTCAAGTGTTGGTTTGTAGGGATTTGGTTGATTGGTTACAGGATTTCTTCATGAGCTGACATTGGTTAGAGAACCATTGGAAAACGTGGGAGAAAATTCCCATATCATGTAATTAATCATGTGCCACGGACGGTGCACCTATTAAGAGAATAGATAAAAGTGTCTGAGAAATAACAATGTTTAAAAAATAGGAAATAATCTTACGTAATCTAGAGGCATTTGACGGCTGATTGGTTAAGTGATGAATGATCATTTAGAAACTTATTGACTGTTTTACAGCTGTTCAGGGAAATAAAAATTAATCCTAAGGCCACGGTAGTAAAAGAAGCAGAAGGAAACAACATTTCTAAACACAAAGTAGAATTTCTTCCCTATTGATCGATAAAGCTGCAGCTGTATGAAGAAAGATGTAGACGACATGCTTCTGAATGGCCTGTTTATACTTTATAAATGAGTCTGAATGAAGTCTCTGCTGTCGCTGTTGTTGACCAGAAGTAATCTTGTACTCTAGAATTGAGTTGTTGTTTACGCTGCCTTCTCCTTTTTGACAACCATACCGGTAACTGTGTCGGTGGTATAGCGGTTAGGACGCTCGCCAACCATGCACATGGTCCGGGGTTCGATCCCCGGCCACAGACGCACTCATTTACCTCGCTAAGCCAGAAAAAGCTGGTAAAGAGGAAAGGTTGGGCATGAGGCTAGCAACCCCATCCTGTAAAATAAACACTGCTACAGAAACTTCAAGCCACTAGCTTGAAGCCCTATGCTCCACTGGGGAACGTGAAGGAAAAAAAACCGGTAACTCTTCAAATGTTACGAAAAGAGAACAGTTTGCTGACTTATATATTCATGATTGCTTGATAGCTAATAGTAAGCACATGTTAAATTAGTCGTCTTTCTTCCTTAGATTTAATAAACGCTTACTGATACTGAAAAAATTGACTTAGGTAAGTTCAGTATGGGTGAGAAATCAATAATTGAGTGTAATTTAAGAGAAGGTTTGTCAGATAATGAATTAAGAACAAATTAGTTCAGCGAAGAGTCTCTTTTCGGCGAATTCATTCACTTAGCTGTACAGTCGCAAATATATATACAATTATTTTGTGTGTGTGTGTGTGTACATTAGGTTTGTCAAAATCAAAATAACAGTTAGTGTGGGTTGTTGATTACATCATCAAAATAATAAAGAAATTAAAATGTGTGATTAATAATCAAAGTTGTGACTAAGTGGGATGAAGATTGGTAAGATGTGAGTAGGGTTACGTAATATAGACATGTTTAGAAAGATTATATGTTAGTGAAGGAGTATGGAGACAATTATGAAAATAAACTAGATAATAGGTGAAAAGATTGAATGGGTTAGTTACTAAAATTATTATACGAAAATTGCAAAAACAGAATTTGATAACCAAATGTTGATGACAGATAAACTTAAAATTAAACCCACGGTAGTAGGAGGGGGTGGAGAAGTTTCTTCTGTGTGCATAAATCAGGCTTTTCTATCCAAATCGCTAAGGCTTCGGCAATACAAATAGATGTGAAACTGCCCTTATCTTCCTTATTTAGACATTGCAGATTACTTCATTCTAGCATGCTGTATGTTCATTCAGTGCGTGCGTGTTCACCGTTAGAGACAACAGTATGAATACTATCACTGACGTATTTGTATTTATTCCATGCTCAGAGTAATACGTATATACCTCAACACAAAAAAAAAACTATAGTAATATTAACATAAAGTGAGCGTCGGTGGCACAGTGGTTAGGACTCTCGCCAACCATGCACATAGTCCGGGGTTCGATCCCCTGCCGACGCACACCCGATATTTATGGTCAGCCTATAAATTTGGGCTACCGATATCCATGCTGAAAATTCCATACTTGTACTGAAAATACGGTGTGGCATCAAGCTGTAATCAAAATTTAAAAAGAGAAGACATTCAGCGAAGAGACTCTTTTCGACGAATTCATTCACATAGCTGTACAATCGCATTTATATATAAATATTTTGTGTGTGTGTGTGTACATGAGGTTTGTCAAGTTTAGATAATTGATTAGTTAATACAATAACGATGTAGTATAGAGACAAAGTTAATCAGACAGCAACAAAAGTAAGACTGAGTTAAAAAACTAGATGACGTAATATAATTGGCTAAAATATTACAACTTAGGTCAGGATAGCAACAGAGGTAATTACAGGTAGAGATTAAGTAGAAGTGAAATTGAGTGAATAAGTTGGATGACGTAACATGAATGACTAGAGACTGAGCGTTGTTCAAGTCAGTAACAGTGGTAGTGGGGTGTAGAGATTGAATCGGGTGGGGGTAGAGAACAAGAAAGTTGAAAATGTAAAATGTTACAATTGAGAAGACAAAATAATACTAATGAAGAGACAGAAGAAAAGATTAGGTAGAATTTACATGTCGGCTAATAAGATAGATTACGTCCATTGCAAGTGTAGTGATTGAACGAACTTCTTCTGTATGCAGAGTTCAGGACTTAGCAAGTGAATCGCCATTGCTTCTGCAGTTTGAAGAAGTTTGATTCGTACACCTTTAGGGAGACTACTTTAAAAAAATTTAAAAAATAAAAAATTACAGTTTTCACATCTTAACAAAACTACAAAACTGGTAAGTTCTTAAGCATTTCTTTCAGATATATTCGCTGGAATGCGTGTCCATTGTGGTTGATCCCCTACAACTGACAGTGATTATTAGTAAGAGATCTTAACTAAAAATCGCTAAAATCGCTTACACGTTTTAGTCATCCAATCTAAGTTTTCCTCTTCTTTAGTTGCTTTATCATTATTATTATTATTCCCTTGGGTTCCGAGTGGGGCATAGGGCTTCAGCAGCACATTTCAATTTTGTCCTTTACTGCGTATTCCTCTTTGGGTGGCTGCATGACTCTCAATATGCTGTCGTTTCACTTTCACACGTTCTTCCCCGACGTTACCTTTTTAACGCCGAATTTGTCGTTTGTCATTCGAGTTCCACTGGAAAGCCCAGCGCGCGATGACAGTCAGTGGTCTCCTCAGTACGTGTTCTATCCATCTCTACGTCCTTCGGCATATTCGCTGAGCAGTAGGTTCTTCGGTGGTTCATCCCGAGATTTCTTTGCTACTAATCCTTTCTGGCTATCATCATTTACGTGTCATTATTTTATGACTACCCGCATTTCCATGCACCTAGATGTCTAAACCTTAGGAGGTGTACAGGGTTTCTAACCCCAAATCCATTAGTAAGAAGTCAAGCGCTTAAACTAAATAATCACAACTCCAGTTCATCACGTCATCTACTTCTTACTACAGAGCGTTTCTATGTCAACTTAGACAGTATGATCATATCATTCATTAGAAAACGATGCATTTTCAGTACAATCTTTTTCTCTGCTTTATAGGGCATCTTTACTTGATGAAGTACAGTTCAATAGAAGAAATGCTTATGGAGCTATTGAAAGTCCAGATAAACCACAAATAATTATTTTGGGCAGTGAATCTGTTGGCAAAACACGTCTTGTTGAATGCATAAACAAGGAAAAGGAGATTACATGTGCTATTGGATTAGATTATCACTTTTTAGATCTTAGTGAAGACGGAAAAGAAGGTGAGTTATCGATTAAAAGAAAAAAAGAACTTTAAATTCATCAGTAATTGCACTATTTGATTTAATATTTTAATCCTCATTTCATCTTGCTCCTTGTCCAGTAGGTTTCATTTCTTTCATCTTAACACCGGGCTCAGGCTCAACTTATTGATTCCTGTTCGGGTTACACCCAAGTACCCAGTGCCTGATTTCACCCAACAGTCTCCATAGTGTTTGTCCGATTCATCTTGAATTCCTTCGTGGTCATTTTCAGACTACAGGATCTTGGTTATTTCGTCGCACTGCAGAGTCCCTTGTTGATAACGTCTTCCTCCTATCTGACTTTCGATATGGAGTGAAGGCATTTCGTGATAAAAGTCACAGCATCTGGAACAGACATTCAACGCGCTATCCACTAGTTCACTGCCCGTTGACTTACTAGAGGAGAAACTCATATGAGTTCTTCTGAGAAATTGTAAGCAGTTGTGTCTATCAATTTATTTGTGAAACCAGCACTAGCTGATAGCACTGTGTGTCTGCAGAACGATTAGTCACCTATTTCATTCCAGCCTAGTAACTGAATATTTGTCTCAACGCCCTGAAGTTCCCGATCGAAGTTAAACTAAACGTTACCGTTGTCCTTGAGCAGCAAGTCAGGAACAAGGCTAAAATAAAGACTATAAAGCACTAGTATTCTGGGATCAGTTCATATTTATAATCCTTCTAGCTTACAGCGAAATCTCAACATCCCTGGTAAACCTAGTCCTTATATGCATCTTCAAGTATCCGTTACCTACACAGTAATTTTTATATTTTTTTGCAAAATAAAAATGTTGGGATGAATAATGAATGGAACAGGGACAACAGAGACACAGAAGAGATGACCACGACATATATCTAGGCTATGTCAACAAGGAATGTAACAGCTATCTGTCCCCCAGCCCGCTCTACCTAAGCAATAACACGCTATGACGTATAACGAAAAGTCTAAGTATCAGTACCAGTTAATTTACGAGAAGATAAGATGGTTCTCCTAATTGTCGTGGACTAGATTATGCGTCAGACTGTGGCGGAGGGGGGCGAGAAGACAGAAATATTTTGCTTCCATTATGGGTAAATTTTTATTTTGATAGAGTCTCACAGTGTTGTACAGTAATGTTTACTGATGACAACGTTTCGAGCACAATTTATTGTTGCTCATAATCATATCAAGGTAATCACACGACTTCCTAAATTCATTTATATAGTTCCATTGTTTTTCACTTGATTTGATTGGTAGTATTATTTTCCATATTTCAGGTATGAGTGATGATTCATTCCTATTGCATGTGTTGGGTGTAGATTCAATGAACCAGACAGGATTCAGTAATCAACCTCTCTCTCCACCTACCTAGATTACTTTTTAGAATTTTAACCCTCTCCCACCTGCCCTATTGTGTGGTTGTGTGTTAATGCATGCATTGCAATTGCTGAGTTTTTTTCTAAATTACTTATCTTCTCGGGGTCAACCATTCTTACCTTAGCTAAATTCTTATGTTCTGACAATCTGACTACCCCTGACCTACTAGTTTGACCTATGTAGTTGACCTTACAGTCATTGCAGGGTATTTTGTAAATTATATTATTTTGTCTAATTGGGTCCACTGGGTCCTTTAACCTACAGAGCTTGTCCCTGAGTGAGTTTGTAGGTTTAAATGCCACCCTAATTCCTGCGTTATTTAGAATCCTACGTAGGGTCTCAGATGTTCCCTCTTTATATGATATTACAGTGGATGACTTATATTCTCTCTTATTTATGCTATTATTACTAGTTTCACAATT